TGCCGTCTGTGGGGTCGTACAGAGTCGGACATGACTGAAGCGGCCTAGCAGCAGCAGCAGCCTGCTTTAATTCTCTGTAAAAGGGCACCCTGACCGCCAGCAGAGAACACCTGTGTTGAAGACAAGAGGTCCCCCTCCTCAGACACCAGTGCTGGGTCTCCGTCCACGACAAGCCTCCCATCCCTCCCCCCCCAAGTGCCGGAGCGCGTGTGCATGCTGGCCTGCTGCTCCGAAGCCTGGAAGGAGCGAACCCCTGACTTGTCTGATGCTCTCTGCTAAGACTTAAAACTGCGCTTTTCTTCTTCACAGCAGTTCCTCAGAGTAATCTGAGAGGCTGTCTTTGGGGCTGCAGTCTTCAGTTTCGTTCAGATAAGATTTCGTCTCTTCCTATTATAGACTGTTGATTGATTATCATGGTCAGCACCCGGGTAAGGCGGTCAAGTCAGGCATTATTTCTGCTCACACGGTGATGCCCAACTTTGTCATCTGTGACGGGGGGAGTTACAGCAGAATATTGAAAAATATGTGCAACAGTGTTTGCCTCCCTCGCATCTACATTATACTCTGCTGACACTGATCTTTTTGCAATTCAAAATAATCACTCATCCAGTTCAATCCCTGATTGGGAACTAAGATCCTGCAACCCACGCAGTGTGGCAAAAAAAAAACACTTCTATTTTTAGTTTTGAGTATGCAAAGAAACCTCTGATTCATTACAATTGTTTAAAAATCATAGGAACACATTAAAGCTTTATAAGAAATGCTTAAGTTTTATAAAATTAAAAACCTGGTATATGTCCATTACATCTCAATAAACATAAATAAACCATTTATACATTAAAAAATAAAGAATAAAAGTTGGTTGCTTTTAAAAGAAACACAAGCATTTTTCTAGTTAATCAGTATGTTCAGTTCAAGAAAACCAGCGAAAACCAGCTGGCTTTGAGCCACTCTCGAGGTCTGGTTCCACAGGAGCTCGCTGGGCACCAGGGATCGCTCCCTGGGCCCTGCACTGCACAGGGGCACTCACACTGGCCCCTCAGTGGGCACCCACCAGGACAGCACCCTCAGCAGGCCTGCACCCCAGGCTCAGCTCAGTTCTAACTACTGCACATCCTTCAAGTGGCTGTACCTGGCCTCAAGTCAAAGTCACTCAGTTGTGCCCGACTCTTTTGCAACCCTCAAGGACTATACAGTCCACCAGGCTCCTCTGTCCATGGAGTTCTCCAGGCAAGAATACTGGAGTGGGTAGCCATTCCCTTCTCCAGGGGATCTTCCCAACCCAGGGATCAAATATGGGTCTTCTGCATTGCTGGCAAATTTTTTACCATCTGAGCCACAGGGGAAGCCCAAAGTTTGGCTTCAAACAAGCGCAGAAAGGGTGTCTTACACTAGTCCACATAAACATCCCTGAACACACACTTGACCCCTCCAGGTCTCACAGCACACCGGAGGCCCATCTTGAAATGCTCACGGCAGCACGTGAAGGACAGACAAGTTGTCACGTACTGAGTCGGCAGCTCAGCACAGGAAGCCTCGGGTTCGCCACTTCTGATGCCAGCGCAACATGGCTTCAATGTTAAAGTCGCACACTGCTACGCCTGGAATTATGATGAGTAAAATCCCAATGTGTGGTACACCCACAAGAAAGGAAAAAAAACACCCACCTAAGAATTCAAGTCCACTTTCCTTCTCCCAAGCAGAACAGCACTGCTGGATGACACACCATCCAGGTAACCTCCCAGGTGTGTTTCTTACAATTAAGCTTGAGCATCAAAGAAAAAGGTTTTCTTTCTTTGTCATCTTTTTTCTTGAATTTATTTAAAGTATCTCATTCAGGTATAGAACCTGAAAAATCTGTATCTAAAAATGCCAACTGAGTTGGCAGTATTCCACTGGCTTCTATGCTCTGGGAACCCAAGAGAATAAAAAAATACTTCTCAGAGCTGATACCAAAGTCTAGTCCGGGCCCATTTTCATTAGAAGTAACCCACGGGCAAGTGGGCTTGAAGCTGCTCTGGGCCCTATGTGCCTCTCGAGCAAGACAGGCTGGTGCAACTGCAGTGGACGACTCCTCACCCACCACCCAGAGTCCTGCTCCCAACTCCTCAGGGTTGTCCTCACTTGTCCTGGAAGATGGTGAACTGCCCAACCACACTCTCAACCACTCTAAGAGGCCTAAGGAAACTTCAGTTACTTTTTAAAATACATGATCCGGATGTAAAATAATCCAGGATTTATATACTTCTAACTTTTATTTTAAATATCTGAGGCCCAGAGTACTTGGAGAAGTACTTCATTACTCAGAACATTAAACAATTTTTAATTGTTTTTGGAGACTTTCTTCTCTGCACTCCACTACCCACACTTAAGACATACGTTTCTCATTTGCTTGTGTGTTTATAAATTAGTCACTTTCTAATTTAAATATATCCTTTTTCATCAATGTACTAGGATTAAACTCTTGTCCTTTACTTCTCCCCAAATTTTCTTGTTAACAGCTTTCAACTACTGGCAGTTTTTTTTTTTCCTTTCCTTTTTAGAACTTATATGGAGGGAAGTGCCAGATTTAATATCTTCTTTAAAAAATCATTCATATACAACCTATTTTAAACAATACCTAAGAAAACAGAGAAATGACCTCTCCTTCTGTCAATCACACATTAATAGGTATAAGTAATGGTTTTATTAATATTAATAAACCTGCTGCCAATAAGTATATTCACTAATATGACGATATGCTTCTTTAAAACTAGAAAAGCTGAGTTGTGTGAACTAAATTACACATCTGAGTCCACATGAGGAAACGTTACTCTCGTGTTATTTGTGAATGCACACAGAGAACAGCTCACAGGCCTCTGCACAATCAAAGCTCCTCCCCGCAGAGCGAAGCACGGGAGGTTCTGACCAGGGAGGTTGCTAGCAGGTCTCCTGGAACGCTGGGGAGAGAAGGGGCTCCCCGCAGCCTGGAAATGCCTCCCCCGAGTCAGGCAGGCACGTGGGAGGGGCCAGGGCGGGCAGTGTGGACACGCACAACTCGGCACAGCTGTACACACGCCTGCCACCCCCGTGCCGCCCATGGCAAGGTGGGGGGGACCAGCGGCCTTGGGGTCCACGCACAGCTGCAGGGGCCCCTGCGACCCTGCAGACTCACCCCTGTCCCCCGCCCCACGGGCCCACACAGAGCACAGACGGGAGCCTGAACATCATGCCCCTGCCTCCAGGGACGACCTTTCCCCACACGGGGACAAAGCGATAAGCCACCAGGCTGTCCTCACTCAGGGCGGGAAGCCTGCCTTCCTTCACTCTCGTCTTAGCTCTCAGAGCAGCCGTCCGTGAGGGGGGCCCGGGACATGCCTGAGAGAATCCCCAGGTCTAGGGGCAGAAACCGAGGGGCTGACAGTCTGTGAGGCACGAGAAGCCTGCCTAACACCACCTCTCTCCCCACACCCACTGCAAACATCCCATTCGGAGTGAGAATCCGGCTTCTAACTCTGAGCCCAGACTCTTCTCACTGAGCCCAGACTCTTACTGTGTTCTACACTCACGCACAAAATATTTCTGGATAATTTTAACATAATGTGAATTTTCCAGAAATTTTACTATTGTTTGAGTCTAGAAAGAATTGTACATTGCTTTACTTGTCACTTTAACAGGAACCACTCCTTCTGTAATATTCCACCACCACTGGCATCCCAGTCCCAGGGCGACAGCCTCCTGGTCATCAGCTCTGACGTGAGCCTACCCATGGCCTCCTGACGTAGCTCCCAGCCTTTTACGTATTGTTACATGTGTTACATTATTATACACTATATGCTACCATCCTTCAGTTTTTTAAATTATGAGTTATATTTTCTAGATATTACATCTTAGGGTAAGGGGTCATTACAAAAAATTTTTCTTTAAAAACGGCACTGTTCCTGGCAAGTCTGAGTCTTACTGCAGAGAAAACACGCTCCACCAAGTGTCCACAGGGAGAAAAGACATGGCTGACCATCAGGACGTGGTATAAACACTGGGTGAAACACCACAGATCACCTGACCTTCCTCTGGGGACAGAGACCCCTGGGGCCCCCCCCAACCCTGGCTGGAGAGCAGGTGTCAGGGCCATGCAGTATCCCCAACACACCATGACACTTCTGAGAGTTACAATGGCCCACACTGCAGGTGTCGTCCACAGCCATCCCAGGGAAACCGACAGGCAGCCACTGGATGCCGGCCCATCCATGCACACCCTCCCCAACCCCACGTGCCCCAAAAAGCACTGCCCCTTCCCCGGGGGGCAGATGGGGGACCTACAGGCCAGGCAGTAGCCTGTCCGGGCCCCCACTCCTGACCACCGCCCCCCACCCTGCCTCCGCACTCAGCGGGAGGCAACAGTTGGCCCAGAGACCAATGGTGAAGGCCCCAGCTCTCCTCAAGCAGACAGGTGTCACCACCACCACCACAAGACTTCTCCGCAGCCCATCGTGGGAAAGGACAGAACTGCCAGCAGGACTGACGGATGCAGCCACCCGGCCTGGGCTTCCACTCGTCTCCGCGGAACCTGGGGGTGCCCGGGACCAAGCACAGGCACACCGGTCAAAGGCAGGGACACCCCCACATCGGCCCACATGCTCCAGAATCTTTGCTTCAAACAGAACCTGAACTACTGCACATCCCACTACAATTAGGCTCTAAATAGAGAAGAAAACTAAGAGGCACAATAAAAACTACAGGCTTGAGTGGAAAGTCTGATACTCTCAAGTGAAATTTATAAAAAGCTACCTCTGAAGAAAAAAATCTCCCAAGACTAGCCAGATGGAACAGAAAAAGAGAAGAAACAAATGTACAGCTTCAAAGCTCTGGTGGGACGGTTCCAAAGCAGAGATGCACCAGCTTATGTCACGAAGAAGCTGTGAGGATGACCTAGCTGCCTAGAAAAGGCCCGTGTCTCGCCCGGGTCTGACTCGCGTCCCACCCTGAGTGCCGAGGGCACGGCCTAGGGAGGGGGCTCTCACCATCGCACTTTGTTGCAGGTCTGGGTGGCACCGAGGGGCGAGCCGGCCACCATGGGCACCTGGATGGGGCTGTGCTGCTTGTTGGTGACCAGGTCCAGCTTCTCTTCCAGGGATTTACACGTGGCCTCCAGAGCCTGCAGCTTGGCTTCAATGCTATCCAATCGCAAGCAGATTGTCTGGTTAATGGAATACAGGAATGACTGCAAGAGAAAAACAGAAGAGCTTCAGGAAGGGCCTCTGGAAGTCCAAGCAGACAGTTCCAAGAACACCAAGCAGCTCTCTCCCACACTCGGCTGAGTTTGTCCCCACAGGACAATCCCAGTACTCCAGCTCGAGTTGTGAGCAGCAGCATCTCCAGAAACAAGCTGGACCCTGTCCACTCACAGCATGACTGGCTCTGCTCTGAGTAGTTGTGACTCTCAGCTACACTGAAGTCCACAGAAAACAGAACCTAAGTGGGCTTTACGACATGAGTCTATTCATCAGTAAACCTACACATAAAACTAGTCAAATGCTTCTATGAAAACAGATTACACCCAAAATCAAAAGAGCCCAGAAACCTTCCTGCTCCCAGGACACCCACCGCCCCAAGGTGAGGCGTGGTGCCAAGGCTCCCGCGCGTGGGAGCGGCACACCTGCCACCTAGCGGCCATTGGAAGAGCTGCCGCACCTTCCACCGCCGTCACCCAAGTCCTGCCTGGGACCAAGAACCGGCTCAAACACCCGGTGGGAAGCTGCCCCCTCCCCCAGCGGCCACTCCTGCCACAGGTCAACAGGGACACAGAGGGACGTGGGCTGCGCCCCTGCTGGCCTCACAGCTGACATGGGAAGGAGGCTGCCAGGCTGGAGTCAGCCCGTGATGGCTCAGCTCAGCAGAGGCAGCGTACGAGGCTCCTCTGATGTAAGCATCATGACAACCACTCACTGGTAGCCGAAGTCCCAAGGTCAAATCACTAATGACCCCATTATTTTTTATAATTTGAAGACCTCAACCATGAGGTTCCCAAATTCTCTAAACAGTAAAACTGCATCGTCTTAATTCTGAATTAGAAATTATTCTGCCTGGAGTTTGGATGAACATCAGTTATTATATACCAGTAACACAACTTCACAAATCAATAAAACAAAGAAAGGCAGAGAATAGCACTTTTAAATAAGTCTCCTAGATACAAGTGATATTCACCAAAAATCATCCAAATCTCTCTCTTTTGCAGAGCTCTGGCAATCTGGTGAGCACACTTTTCCCAGGACATGTGTGGCAGGTTCCAGCTGCGGCCCGAGGCCCTGCCCACAGGCCAGGAACGCGGCAGGACCCCTTTCACTTGACCTTATCCACGTCTGACTCTACGCTATTCCCCACACAAGCCTCTTCTGTGATAAAATTACATTTTATTTTTAACTATACAATGTAGGGTTACTGAAGCAGTGGTCCTCTATACATTAATCTGAAATAGAAATTTAACTGGATGTGTCTTCACTCCACAAGGTTAAGTTCATGCTGCTTCTCCATGTTAACAAGACGAGCCAGACGTTTCTCCACAGAAGGCCCAGGTAAAGAGAGAATACAGCTGTACAGCGCAGGGAACTTTACTCAGGACTCCATAATGAGCGGCATGGAAAAAGAATCTAAAAAAGTGGATACATGTATGTGTATAACACATTCACTTTGCTGCACTGCAGAAACACACACACTATTCTATAAATCAACTAAAAGTTCCTTTGGTTTTCCTCTGCACTGCAGTCCTAACTTCTCACAGGAGCTGGTATTCATCTCTGTGGCTCTGCAAACAGCAGACCCAACAAGTAAACCCAAGAACCAGCGATCGCCCACTGACTGAGCCAGTGGTTTCCAAAGCCGCATCTAGCAAACCATAGAATTTAGGTACCCTAAACAATAGGCACACAAGTGCTTCATCACTGGGGGAATGGTGTTTGTTCCCTCCAAGCATGCGAGGTCCATGGGTCTGTGTAGGAAGAGGCCACAATTCTGGTTAAATACTGTGAGTCTTCAAGGGGAAATGTTATGGCTGTATGCGCCTTGTTAGGGGTTGAACAGTGACTCAAGAGAAACAATACGTCCACATCCTCAGCCCCAGGACCTGTAAATGAGGCCTTGCTTGGAAACAGGATCTTGGCAGATGTAATCAAGATAAGATGAGGTCATCCTAGGTGAGGGTGGCCCTGCCCTTGTAAGAGACAGAAAAGACATGCAGGCATGGAGGAGGCCACATGAAGATGGAGGCAGAGACTGGAGGGACGCGGCCACAAGCCCACAGATGCCTGAGGCCCCCCCAGGAGCTGGAAGAGGCAGGAGGGACACTCCCGCGGAGCCTCCGAAGGGAGCTCAGCCCTGCAGAAATACTGATTTCAGACTTCTGGCTTCCAGAACCGTGAGAAAGTAAATTTGTATTGATTTAAGCCCCTCCTCACCCCAAATTGTGATAATGTTACGGGAGCACCACATCAGATATAAAAAACCACATATATTAATATTTTCACCTTTATAGAAGGGTCTTGGCAATTGATCTCTAGTCGCTGGCGTTTCAAAGCTGGTTCATCTTCATCTGTCACTACATGATTCTCCAATACAACTGAAAATCAAGAGACAAAAACCACTTCAATATGAAAGTTTTAACAGAGCTGTTTCATGTTCAGACAGTAAACCATTCCAACACCTTAAACAGAAAGGTGTCACCTAAGGTTAAACGAGAATTAGCACAAACTGTTTCATATTTTACTATTTACAGATTTAACTTAAAATTATCAGTCAGGCAGAAAATAGGATCTCTCCTTAATCTCAAGAAAAACTGAGACATTGGATAAATTATCTCCCGAATGTGCCAATGAGTTGATACTAACACTGAGACTGCAGGCTTCTTACTCAAGGCTCTATCCAGCCACCCTTTGCGACAGAAACCAATTGCTAATAACGATTTCTTCCCAACTTTAAAATAAGGTCTTGTCAGCCAGCCATCTCATTCCAAAAACAAAACCACTCTCAGAACACTACATCTTCTCAAGTGCTGGTCATCAAACTGGTCTCAAATGTAACACACTAAGTTTCAGGGAAAGTCACTCCCCTGTAGTGTGTCTGAAATTGAGGTCTCCCACCAGCACCTTCCAAAGGGGCGTCATGAGTTCTCCACTGATAAGTCACGTAGCCCAAGTTCAGGGCTGACACAATATGGACCCAATCCTGATGTCTTTACACCTGTACTTACCAGGTGATTTATCTTAAAACTCTAAAATGCAAAGACACTGAAGAGACCTGAGGCTCTAGCAGGAACCGTTCAGGGTCCCAGGCGAGAGCACTAGGCTGGTCTCCAGAGGTTAAGTCACACCTAAAGCTCTACCTGGCAGACAGCAGCCACAGGCCAACGAAGCCAGAAGCAATCTGCTCACCAGAGGGCTCTGCGTCATACACTGTGTATTCACACCTCACACACCTCCGCAAGATGTGCGGGAACAAGCTCTCACTTAGTTAAGAGAAAGGAAAACTCCAAGCCTACACGTGTTGTGGTAGCAACACAGGTTCTCAGAACCTTCATCGAAGCCTGCTTAACTCCCACTGGAAGCTGGTGATTAAAACAGGACTGGGAGGATGAAGAGGCTCTGGCAACCACTCATCTAATCCTTTTAATTTGCTGACGTCAAGTCCAGAGAAGCTAAGTGACCTGACCAGGGACACAGCTGGCCGCCTCTCCCTTGGCAGCGTGAAGCACCTCAAGGTGATGAGCAAGGGGCAGCAAAGCACTTGAGGAGGAGACAAGCCTGCGGCGGCAACAGGGGCACACGCCTGGGCTCCACTGCCTACGAGCCGCGGGGCTCCTGGTCCATTTTCTTCTTTGTCCTTGGGTTTTATAACTCTGCATGCACTACTTTTAAAATTAAACAAAAAAATCCAATGTTCATTTTAAAGCCATCATGGTCACCTGGAAGGGCAGACCTGACAAAGGTTACAATCGTGCGTGTGTATGCAAACGAGCAAACAGACTGTGGCTACGTGGTGGGTGCACACAAAGTCACAGGACCCTAACGGAGCATGTTGATTTCAAAAGGAAATCAAGAGAAAAATGAAAGGATGCATATGCCAAAAACTCAAAAGCAGTTCTCTTGCTAGAATTATGGGAAACTTCTATTTCTTCTAGTTGCTTGACTATGTTTTTAAATTTTACAAAGTTTACATTTTAGAGACGAAAAAAACATCTCAATCTTAACTCCCTCCTGACGTAAATGTGGGGGAGCATCATGGTGCCTGCTGGTGTCGGCGGCGGGGGGGTTGTCCCTGGGGCCAGAGATGGCGGGTCCCCTGTCCTCAGAGAGCCCTCCCTGCACACAGTAGGTACCCGTTACACAGCCATGAGCTGTAGTTTGCAGCCATTTAAGGAAGCTACATGGAACAAAACCAGGATCAAAAATGACTCCTCTAATCCTTCTCTGGACTGAAATCTACAGAGGGAGAAAAAAAATTCTTTTTAAATAGAGGGAGAATTTACTTGGGAAGTAAACTGTTAAAATTCTAGTAGTTTCTAAAAACACTTAAAATTTATATAACTGGGCCATTTTTATTATTGCATTGCAGTGTGAGTGTTTTCTAAAGAAATTGTCTACCCAACAAAATGTGAGCAGCTGTTTTTAAAACTGTGATGCCTGTTGACAGTGCTGCTTTGTTTTCAGTTCACTGGTATATGAGGAGCAGCACTAAACGAGGCCAAGGCTTCCTGTTCTCGCTCTAAACAAACCGGTTCACTTTTTACAGAGAAATCTGGGGTTAACAGCTAACTTCAGACACCCTGACTTTGCTCAAGGATCTGCCAAGTTTTTGATCGTTTCAGTTACCAGGTGACAGTACTTCTTATAAACAATTCAGAAGCAAAATTAGGGAAAAAACTGACTAAAGAATATAGCATTTCTGAAGGGGTATCCCCATCTCTTCATGATTGCTTGTTCAAGCCTAAAATTACACGTGCTGCCCACCGTCCATACATAACTCATTTCCCAACTAAGACTCTTCAACTAAGAGATCATACAAGAGATCATACAAGATAGATATCACCACACTTTGAGATTTCTGAAAATTCTCTTTTCTGTGGGGAAAACAGTCAGCATTTCAATACTATTATTTCACAAAGAGGGCTTTCAAGGTGGCCCAGTGGTAAAGAATGTGTCTACCAATGCCAGAGGCTTGGGTTCGAGCCCTGGGTCGGGAAGATCCCCTGGAGAAGGAAATGACAACCTACTCCAGAATTCCGGCCTGGAAAATCCGTAGACAGAGGAGCCTGGCAGGCTATAATCCACAGACTAACAAAAAAGTTGGACATGACTTAATGACTAAACAATTCCACGAAGAATAACCAAGCAACCAAAACAATTTCTGTGATTTAATTATGTATGCTTATTATTTTAAACTTAACAGATATATTAAACACATAAAACTTTATGGGGAAAAAAAGAGAGAACACTTACTAAGAAACCTTTTTACAAAATAAAAGTGCTGACAAAGTGTTTCATAAAGTTCTTGAAATCTAGAGTTCCCCTTATAAAGTGTCTAGTATCTAGTTAAGATTCCAAAGTAGCTAAGTGCCTTGAACATCACTAAGGAAGATTACCAGCCCTGGCAAAAGTGCAGGAAAAAGTCATCTCTCAGAATAACCGGGTAGTGTTTCTGGGACGTCCGTCAACATCTTATCAAAACTCTGAATAAACACAGCAGCTCGACTTCTGGGAACTCATCCTGCAAAAATATTAATATCTGCCACGATACACAGCAAGACCTTTACTGCAGAGTGTACACAGAAGAAAACAGTGCAAACCACGTGAACACCGTTCCCAGGGAAGAAGCAGATGAAGGCGGGAGCAGCATGCATGGAACACCTCAAAGTTGTCCACACACACGGCAGATGATCTGCTGTTGCAGAAGAGGCACGGACAGGACCACGGGGGCTTGAGGGAGGCCAGGGCAGCCAGGGCTGGACGGCCGCGGCGCAGGGGCAGGCTGGGGGTTGCTGAGGGAGCACGGGGACAGGTGTGGGGCTGACAGGCTCACACACTGAGCACGCCCTGATGTTTCTCTTGCTATACTGAAGGGAAGGCAGGGAAGCTTGCAGAAGATCCTTTGGGTTTTTCCCCAGACTGCCCCCAGCTCTGTACCTGGGTGTCCGGGACTCAGCTCCTCGACGGCGATCTGCACCACGTCAGCCAGGTCCTGTTCTGACATCATCCAGGACGCGAGCAGAGTGGCCGGTGGATGAGAGGGAATCAGACTCACGTAGGACGGTGTTCCTGCCACCTAGAAACAAGAACAAGACAGCCGAAAGGGAGATGAACAACCGTGATCTTGAAATGATGGAAACTGAGGCCATGTTCTGTATCCACAGGTTCACCAGGAGCCTGTGGACATGTCCAGTATGAGGCTCTTCTTGACTCAAACTATCAAAATGTCCCTCATTACTAGACAAGCCCCCACCCTACCAGTCCCTTCCCATACCCCCCGAAGTCACCTACCTAAGACAGCTGCAACGCGTCACCCCCAAGCCAGATGTCCCCTGGCCCCCTTCCTGCCCACAGAACATGTCCTGTCTCTCACCTGCCCCTACCAGCTCTCAGCTCCACTACGCACACCACACTCCAAATATCATTGCGAACACACCTCCAGATCCTACCCAAGTGGACCCTTCCATCAAGGCTGTCCCCTTGCCCGTTTCCACTCCTCACATGCCCTCCCTCAGGCAGGCAGAGCAGAGGGCCGGCTCCTGGGAGGACTGACTGTGGCAGCAGCTCCCTGCCCGGGCCGGGGCCTGGCCCCCACCACTGTCACCCCTGAGACAGCATCGCATGTGCAACACAGTCCGTTCCTTTTTTCCTGCCCTGAAACTCTCCAATTAGGCCCGGACACACCTTTCCCAAAAGAGAAACGAGGCCATGCCGCTCCAGATATGACCCATCGACACGGGTCTAAATGAGGTACTTGCACACTGGGTGCCTGGAGGTCAAGAGCCAATGCCACTGTAATACTTGTATCATCCTACACTTTGTATTTTAATCACCAGTGAGTAAATGCTCACAACATAAGCCATCTATCTTTCCCAGCTAGACTGCTCATTCCCTAGGGCGGACACTGAGTGCCCAACTCTCCAGGACAGCACCGCCCCCCCAACACACACACACCCGCTCACTGTCCTGAGGCAAGCCCAGCACACACACACACACACACACACACACACACACTGTCCTGAGGCAAGCCCAGCACACACACACACACACACACACACACGCTCACTGTCCTGAGGCAAGCCCAGCACACACACACACGCTCACTGTCCTGAGGCAAGCCCAGCACACACACACACACACACACACACACACACACACACACACGCTCACTGTCCTGAGGCAAGCCCAGCACACACACACACACACACACACACACACACACACACACACGCTCACTGTCCTGAGGCAAGCCCAGCACACACATACATACATACACACACACACACACACACACACACACACACACGCTCACTGTCCTGAGGCAAGCCCAGCGCGCGCGCACACACACACACACACACACACACACTCACTGTCCTGAGGCAAGCCCAGCACACACATACATACATACACACACACACACACACACACACACGCTCACTGTCCTGAGGCAAGCCCAGCACACACATACATACATACACACACACACACACACACACACGCTCACTGTCCTGAGGCAAGCCCAGCGCGCGCGCGCGCACACACACACACACACACACACTCACTGTCCTGAGGCAAGCCCAGCACACACACACACACACACACACACACACGCTCACTGTCCTGAGGCAAGCCCAGCAGGAAGGAGCAGCCGTATCAAGAGTCTTAGGTCATCCACTTCCAACCAGGAGTTTACTGACAGCTCCTTTAAGTGGCTAAGTTCCAACAGGCATAAAATTAAATTCATAAGTTCCACACATGTTCTTAAACCTATAAATTCTGATTTAAACTCTATAGCTTAAATGGCAGCAGCTCCAGAATTTGTTAGGGACAGACAACCATTTGTAGGAGGAGCATTCAATCTGCTTTTTTCTTTTTAAGAAATACGTTAGATGTGAACAGACTATCTCTGGGGCATAAAGATAAAGGAAATTATATTTGCTTTTACCATGTACATGTTATCACCTTCTCAAAAAGTACTTTTTAAAATGATCAGACAACTAAATACTGAGGCATCTATCACAGGGAAACCGTCACCTCCGACCCCCTCGTACATGCCGGTACAGCCTCACCAGTAGTCGCGGGCCTCCACGGGAACAAGCTGGGGGAACTGGCGGGCCCACCAGGGGTCTATCTCCCTAAACCTGTGTCCTCTGAAGGTGATCTCTGAGCAGATTAACTGTGATCAGTACGAACACCAAAGCCATTCATGTAGGGATACACTGAGCCCCTTCAAGCAGACAGTGGTCCTCAATTAGATAATACCCTCTCACCTCAATCTTTGAACTGATGGGTTTAAAATGTTTTAGGGTTGCACACTGCTTTCAGAATCAATTTTTTTTTTAAATTACAGATCCTCTTCCAAGAAAAAAGCACAGACAGACACTGCCAAGTTCCTGAAACTCACAGTCACCTAACAGACAGCTGGTAGCCGACCAGTACCTGCTCTCCACTATGCTCGGTGCTGTAAGAATGCGAATTCAAAGGGCACGTGGCCACCAGAGCCCAGCCCCTCCTGCAGCACGCCACAGCCACGTGACGCGCCCCCCCGACCCCCGCCAAAGGAGCGTGAGCGAGCCAGTGCAGGGGCAGCTCCCAGACCCTTCCCACGTGCCCTCCTGCTGCTGGCCTCCCTGACCACTGCCTCCCGGACTTCCTTGCTCTGAAGGAAAACTGCCAGTCACCTGCTCTAAAAACAATGCATTCTGGAATCTGTGGCATGCAGCCAGGCTTAACCTCTGTGATCCACCCTGAAGCCCATTCACGATGGCCCAGTGCCTCAGGTCCCAGGTTAAATACCTGTCTATCACAAAGGGCTAGTGGAAAGTGTTCAGGTGCCAGACCTGAGCCTTCCCTGGTTTCTGGGAACTCTGTGAGTGGCTTAACACTCCGAGCTAACCATAAAATCCTGAACCCTACCCTCATCCAAATGAGGACATCACACATGATCCAGGGTGTTTACTCAAAATGATTCTGCTGCCAGGATAGAGTCATTTAAAATTCTGCTAACTGTGATGATTTGAATAGAAAAAAAAAAAAAAAAACCTAGGGCAACAAGCCCAAGAAAACTGGAACAGAACAAAGCATGAAGTTGCCATTTTGGCAAATTAAACTTGCCGTTTCTCAGAAGTCCTGGAGATAGTCCAGTCTTAATATCATAAAGCAGCTGGACTGCGATTAATGTTCAATAACGTCTCTAACGGCAACGAGAAGAGAGCATCCTCCAGGGAGCACATGGAAAAACGCCCACCAGCCAAGTCACCAGCCCAGCGCTCAGTCACCAGGGACTGTACAGTAAGTGACGTGAGCACCACAGCCATCCATGTGGATGGAACGGTCTCCAGAACATAACACTACATAACAGAAAAAAAGGAGAAAAGGAAAACTGCAGGTATGTACAGTCATGTGTCTGTGTGAATGCACACAAAATGCTCTGGAATGACGCATACTGAACCAGAGCAACCCACGAGGGAAGAAGGGCAGGTAACACCAGCTGACCTTCATCCTTTATCCTCTGGACCACTGAGCCTCCTACAAGCACATACTATTTATTGTGCTTATTACACTGGAAATAGTTTTTCTAAAACAAAGCAGTAACTATACAGATGAAGCCAACCACATCAAATCTGGATAAAAACAAGGGCGCTTTCTTCCACCCTGCCTCAAACCCCCCTCCCAGCCTGCATGCGTGTGCGTCCACAGCTGTGACCTCTGGTGCCCCGGCCCCTGCCCTACGGGCGCTCCTTCTCCCAGGCCGGGGGGGTCAGGCTTTCTCTCTCCCTCCGGCTCGGCCCTGGGCCTCTTCTCACTGGCACTGAAACACCATCTCCCTGCCAATAGCACACAATCAACTCCACCTCCAACCTGTCCCGGAACTTCAGATCCTGCGACAAACGGCCTCTGGGCCACCTCCCCTAGGTCTCCAGTCTCAATGTGAAGAGGCAGAACTGAACCCATCCCTGTCCACACCTCCAGACCGCCCGCCCAGGTGTGGTTCTCCTCCTAGCATCGGACCTGTAGGCAGAACTTCCCGCTGCCCTCGCTCTGGCCTCATCAGTGCATATCTGGGCCCACACTCTGGCCCTACCTGGGTCTCCCTGCTCTGCCTTCGCCCAGAATTGCCACCAATACCTGTTTAAAGGCTATGGATCACGTGAAAGCCCATCTCAGCATCCCTGTCTGCTCAAAGCCCAGCAAAGCTTTCCCGTTCATTCAAGGTGCGTGCCCGGCACCTGGCACCAGCCAGGCTCCCTCTGTGTCCCCAGGCTCCACTCGAGGCTCCTCACTCTGCCATCGGAGGAGGCTACCTCAGCCAAGCGGGCACACACCAGCCCAGCCCTCACCCTCCACCGTCCGCTTGCCCTTCCACCCAGTCAAGCCCCACCCATCACACCCACCAGCGGCACCCATCTCCCGGCTACGAGTTCCTGCTTCATCACAAAGCCCTTCCATCTAACCTGTGACACAGGCGAAACGTCCGTCTGGTTTGACATCTGTCTCCCCTGCTGGAAGACAAGCTCCCCTGGGCAGGAACCCGCACCATCCCACTCACTGCCCCGCATGGGGCCTGGCACACCATGTACGTCAGTGCAGTGGGGCTGGAGGGGAGCCCTGGGGAGACATACCACTGCCCACCCAGCACTAAACTCTGGAGGGCGGCATGTCTGCTGACAAACCATGCAGTAAGGTCTGCAGAGTTCTCTCATTTCAATGACTGTAGTGTAATTAAGTCACAGGCCTGTTTAGCTTATAACTGTGAATTTCATGCGAACAACATGTTAGGTTTCACAGTGGAAATACAAGCTGCTCGCGGATTGTCAACGACAGACAGGAGCAGTTGTTCATCAGCAGAAACACAGAACGGTTCATTTAGTTTCCATTTTTCTAGTTTTTAAATATTTTGGACACCTGTAGAAAATAAAACCACAAGGCCCCTGAAACAGGGGAAAAAAGAAGAGCTACTGTAACCGAACATGTGACTGCGCAACAGCAGTAAAGGTGGGAAAAGGAAACCCCGCAGCCCAGCAGCATTGTCACGCGGCAAAAAGGCATCAAGAGAAAGCAGCCAGGCAAAGCCTG